TCACCAACACCTCCAAGTTGTTGGGTTTCACAGGATCAGCAGTTGGGCCCTGGGTTGCCCCCAGACGGATTGCCCAGACTCGCCCTGGTTCCGACCCACGGAGATAGCTTCTTCCCCAGGTGTTGGGGCTAGGGGCGTCCCTGTTCCAAGCTGTGTCCGCCCCTCTCCGTCCCGGGCCTGTCCACCCCTGTGGCCCGCCGCCACAGGCCCACCTGCGTCCGCTTGTCTCCGCTGCCCGGCCTGTATGTCCCTGTCAGCTGCCACTGGGTCTGTCTGCCTCTGCGGGCGGCCAAGGGGCCTGTATGTCTCTGCCGGCTGCCACAGCGGGCCTACCTACCTCTGCTTGTCACTGCTGCCGGGCCCATCCACCTCTGCGAACTGCCACAGGGCCTGTATGTCTCTGCCGGCTGCCGCCGGGCCTGAATGTCTCTGTCGGCCGCCGCCGCCGGACCCGTCCACCTCCGTCTGCTTACCTCCACCGCAGGGCCTGACCACCTCTGTGGGCCGCCGCTGGGCCTGAATGTCCCTGTCGGCCACTGCCGCCGGACCCGTCTACCTCTGCGGGCTGCTGCCACAGGCCTACCTGCGTCTGCTTGTCTCCGCCATCTTCCACACAGTATCTTTTTGAGCACTGCTGATAACCAGCGTCAATAAGAACAAAAAATACAATAATCCCATACCTAGAGTGTCTCATGTACCTCACAGTGGGTCAGAGTTCTTCGTGAGTCAGTTTTGTTTAGCCAGGGCATCCGCATCAGCAAGGGATGTGGGATTGTGCGTGGGAAGCCAAGTCACTTCTCTTGTAAATTTGGTATGTTTTTTTCTACTGTGGAAGTCCACAGTAGAATTATTTTTGAGAAATCTGCTGTGTTCCTTGCTCTTCTGTCAGAGGCTCACTGTTGTCTCTGCCACGGGAGACTCCTGGTTCCTCCTCACACATCGATTGGCCATGGACATGTGCAGTGTAATTAGAGCATCATTCATGGATGCACACGACCATTTTACAGGACTGTCACAGAACTGATCCGTTGCAGGCAGGCAAGACTGCTTTGCTCCAGCACCAGCCCACAGTCCTAAGGTCTTTTTTATCAGGAGATGCAAACAGGGATGCCTCTCTCGTTTATTTTCAGTCACGTGTGTAAGAAACCCTGTTAGGATCACCAGTGGTTCTGCAGCGTATAACACAACTAGAGAGGCCAGAATGAGCATGGAGCAGGTCTTACAAGAGCTTATGGCTGGGTGTGGCCAAGTCTCCTTGATTTGTTCTTCCTTTGGATTCTGTGCTCAGAGCCAAGTGGCTGGTTAGCTGTCTTGATGGATCTGGAGAGATGGCTAAGCAGTTAAGAACCCTTACTTCTCTTGCAGAGGACCTGAGTGCAGTCCAGCACCCACATCGGGCAACTCACAGCTGCTCCACAGGATGGGTGCCCTCTTCTGGACTCTGCAGGCATTGCACTCACAAGTGCACATACCCACAACTACACAAACACATATAATTATTTAATTATATAATTAAAAATAAAATAAATCCTTTCTTTGCATTGACTTTGAAATGCAGGACTTAAACTGAAGTTCTAGGACCCCCAAATGGTCTGTAAAGAGAATTTAGAGTTTTGTGAATTTCCATTAACTTCAGACTGAAATGTAACATTATCCTCCACAGTCAGACTGGCAGACCAGGCTGGGTGTGAGCAGCAGAATATGCAACTTTGTTACCAGGGAGGACAGAGCCGCTTGTTTGCTGAGCGGCAGACACTGAAACGTGCCTCTCTGCCCATCACTGGGTTGAAGATGCTGGGTATTGTTTCCAGTGCAGTGGATCTCCTTATTTAATGTGTTTACTAGGTAGCTCTTATGTTATGGCTTTGACTCTCCTTGGGTTTTAGTAACTACGCAGATACAGCTGTTTCTCTTTTCACAGACATATGTGCAGGTGGTGTGTAGAAGGCACAAGTTAGGGGCCTACTCTGTCTGGTGTCCTGGTTTTTTATTTGTTTGTTTGTTTATTCTCAAGAAAGAGTTTTACTATGTAGCACTGGCTGACCCAGAACTCAAAGAGATCAACTTGTCTCTGCCCCCCCCCCCCCCCCCAGTCCTGGGGTTAAAGGCATGTACTGCCATGCTGAAAATGCCCCATAGGCCCATAGGGAGTGGTACCATTAGGAGGCGTGGCCTTGCTGGTCTAACTGCGGCCTTGTTAGAGGAAGTGTGTCACTGGGGGTGGGCTTTGAGGTCTCAGACAGCTTCCAGCTGTGACGATAATGGACTAAACTCTGAACTGTAAGCCAGCCCCAATTAGATGTTTCCTTTATAAGAGTTGTGGTCATGGTGTCTCTCCACAGCAGTAGAACCCTGAGTCAGACACTATGTGTCCCTTGCTGGCCTGGAACTCACAGAAGTCACCTGCCTTTGCCTCCAAAGTGCTAGGACTAAAGGTGTGCGACACCATGCCCAGCTCACCTTATGTTTTGAGACAGGCTCTCTCACTGCACTTGGAGATCACTAACTCAGCTTGACTCTCTGGTCAGGGAGCCCCAGAGGTCCTCCTCTCTCCTCTTTCACAGAGCTGGGGTTGAGGTGTGTTCCAACATGCCTGGCTTTTTAC